AAACCCACGACCTCCTGCTTACTAGTGCAGATGTCTTAACCACTCGACCACCGAGCTTGCCGGGATCAGCTGGCCGGTCCGAGTCAAATAAAGCAGCGGGTAACGCGAACTATTTTCAAGATGTATTTTTGCGTTGGGGAGATGTTAATTATATATAACGGATTGCCCTTATGAATGAATTCAGCTCTTAAAAGACACTGCTTGTGTTTAAGGTGAACCAGTGACTCCTTTACAGAAAGTATTGCCATGAAAATAAACAATGCATTCAACTACACATGACAACATTCCTGAAATAATTGGTATCAACCATCATAATTAGTAACAGCCTACTATCCACTGTCATTTTCTATGAATTGCAATGTACATGTAAGTACTTTGAAATTGACCCCTGATATCTTAGCACTGTGGATTTGATGTTGAAAAGTGGGTTACAGATAGTTGCATGTTTGAATCTGGCCAGGACATGTAATTTTACTAGATGAATTTATGGCTTACCGAGGTTGATGTACACAAGTCCCAGGCCTGATGGTGGGTCATGTGTTATCCACAAGGCTCAATGTCATTTAGATACTTACTACTGAACCTGGAAACCTATTGTGAAGGAGCACAGATTCACCTTAACATTTCTGACTAGTGGCATGGTTAGCTAATCAAGCTATGTGCATCCAGGGAAGATGGTGCAGTATAATGACCAAAGTCATCTGTCGTATCACCTCAGAGGTAAGTATACATTCACATCACAAAGGAATACAACTACTGCATTCTTGGTCTTAGACCAGGACTTACACATGAATATACACCTCAGGGATTGCTTCATTTGAAGGATATCGATCATTCATTTAGATTTATGAATGGTGATCAAGAAGGTCCTGGGACAGGATTCTCCAGCAATGATTTAGGAGTGAATACAACGGTCCTGTCATCCCATCCACAGTCTGCCAACTAAAACAAATACATGGAAATCACAATGAAGATTAGTGGAAATGGATTGAAAAACAAAAACCCAACAGTGGATCATTTTCAATTCCGGATGTGGGATACTGCAGTATTAACGGGAAAGTGAGAATCACCTATAGGGTTTAGAGGTCCTGAAATTCATGACCAGTGGCGTCATTTAAAGATGTGTGCAGCAGAGCAGTGGACAATGCCATGGTGCTGAAATTATGCTGATCCAGCTAGTGAATCACTTCACGAATTGCCAGATAAGGAGAGGAGCTGGACAGGGTCCAATATTGTCCCTTAAACCTTACCCCGCCCCCCAAAAAATAACTTCACCTGGCCAGGGATGTGCAGGTTGAAGTCTAACCCACAAACAAACTCTGTGTGATGTTCGATGGTCTCGAGGGGTGTAGTTTGAAGAGCAAAGTCCCATGTCCGAACAGTGAAGTCATAGGAGCAAGATGCAAGCACTGTCTTCTTGTGAGGAGAACACTGTTGAGACATTTACACAAATTTACTCCATCGTAAGGTACATGTACATTCAGTACTTTCAAAATGATGATTACATTACATATATTGCTACTGCTAACACATTACCTGTCCTTAGAGGTGTAAGCTGTACCTCATGCCTTTACAGACTTGGTAGCTTAGAACATTTTGTTTCCATTATGAGAATTTGCTTCGTCATTTTTCACATCAGAAAGTTAATGGATATACACAAAATTATAAGTAGATTCTTTAACGGATTCTGACTCGTGATTTGAACTTTGACAGCACTGTACCTTTATTCTCCTAAGTGCACGTGTGTGCCCTCCAAGCTGAAATACTGGTACTTTGGGGTTTCTAAGATCAAATCCACAAATCTTACTATCCACTGATCCAGCCAGTAGTAAATTCTGAAAGCAAATTCAAGGAATGTTCTATTGTTAGTATTCTTACAAATGGGTCATTAGGGAGACATTTTGTGGTAAATTTTTCGACCTTAGGGAGACATCGGTCATTAGGGAGACATTAGCTCCCAGAAGGAGGCCGAATTTTACGTCCAAATTTTGAGAGATGATAGATTGGGGTCTAAATTGAAAACATACAAAGTTTGGTTCAGATCAGATTAGGGAATATTTAATTATGGGGCAGTAAAGTTTGTGCATGTTCTTATGGGAATGTCTCCCAAGCGACCCATTTCCAGTAAACAATATTACTGTTTTAAACTCTATGAGTAAGCATGTATGTGATTACTTCAATGAGAGTTCTAGAAAGGATATTTCATTTCTGTAATGTAATTTAAGAAGACACTTTTCACTTATTTAACTTTAAAATGTTGATTGTTAAAATAAGTTTTACGAAAGGTAAATTACAGAAATATATTTCCACTTTTGTTTGCAACAAATGATGATGTGTACTAATCAAGTTACAAAATCAGGGGCGATATTTCTTTTTGAAGTTGCGTCCACGCTTGTAGCATAATGAATTCCCTCCAGTGTAAAATTCTCAGTAAATCATATACCAGATGATGGAGAATTGTTAAAACCAATCCTGGACCACCCCTTCCAGGTCATCAATTGCAACCTTCAGCCAGAAACTCTCACCATCAGACGGAAACAACTTGGAGCATTTATCACTAAAATGTGAGAAATCTGAAGAATAAGTTAGACCGCCTCCACAGCAACCTATTAAGTAATCTACATCCACTTGGAAACTACAGAATCTTCGCTTTGACAGAAACTTGGTTGTCATCTGACATCTATGATGCAGAAGTTACAGTACCAGGTTACACAATATTTCATAAAGATAGATTGAATAGCAGAGGGGGAGGAGTTTTAATGGGCTGTCACAACTCTCTGCAGTGCCAGAGGAGAACCAATCTTGAACAGAATGATCTTGAACTCATCTGGGTTGAGGTGAAGACATGGAAGAGAGATCGATGTCTACTAGGCATCTTCTACCGACCTCCCAACAGCGGAAGCCAACCACTGGCGGATCTTGGGGACTGTCTTATGAATGCCTCTCGGGAATATAGTAACATTTGTCTTATGGGCGACTTTAACCTGCCTACCCTTCATTGGAATGTCACCACCAGTTTTCCGAAGCCCAAAACACCCATCGATGAGATATTTGTGGATGCAGTAATGAACACCCACAATTTACGTCAACTCAATTTCAACACCACCAGAGGTGACCACATTCTTGATCTTGTCCTCTGCACTGTCGAGATGGAAGCAAGTTGCCAAGTGGGAGATGATGTTTTCAGTTCGGACCACAGTGTACTCGGCATTACCATCACCATATAACCGTCAATGAATCACGTTAAATCAAATCAAATGAACTTCAATTACACCTTACAGTGTGTTCCATGGTGCTTACTAGGGGCAACATCGGACTGCCATTAAGCAGCTTCACTCTTTCATGACTTTGTTGAGGCTGCCATCACAGATGTGGTGCCAAGAGTTAGACCACGCCGTACTACTCCACCGTGGTTTGATGGAGAACTCATGCAAGCTTTGAAAACCAAAGAAAAGGCTTTCAAGAAAAAGCATTCCAATTCCATCCCTGAGAATGTGCAAGCTTTCAAGATGGCCCGCTCATCCTTCAAACAGCTTGCAGGGAAAAAGTACAGGGAGTATCTGGAGACATTAGGTGGGGACCTGGGGAGGAACCCTAGGCATTTCTGGAGCTTCATAAAGACACGATCACGTACACGCACACTGCCTCCGGTTCTCGAGAATGAGGCGAATGGAACACAAGCAGATACTGCAGTCAGCAAAGCATCACTTCTGATGGACTATTTTCAAAGTACTTACCTGCCAACTGATGATAGCAACATCTTACCGTATGTTCAACCAGCCAGTTAGGACTCTATGCCACCCATTCAAATCGACACCATTGTCACAGAGCATGAACTCATGGATATTAATCCTTCAAAAGCTTGTGGCCCTGATAATCTTCCCGGTTTAGTTTTGAAGTCGTGTGCACATATAATTTGTGACCCACTGACTTACCTTTTTCAAAGATCACTCAATGAAGGAATTTTTTCAGGTACATGTAGCTGGAAAGCTGCTAATGTTGTGCCCCAACATAAGTCTAGTACCAAGAAAAATGCAGCTAATTACCGACCAGTGTCTTTATTACCACTTGTTTCCAAAGTGCTCGAGAAAATTTTATGTGCTCAGCTCGTAAATCATGTCCAGCCTGCTATCTCTGATCAGCAGCATGGATTCGTACCCGGTAGGAATTGCACCACTAATCTTACTACCTTATTACACTTACAGGAAGCTTATTCTGCTGTTGATCGGGGTGGCCAGATGGATGTGGTCTACACTGATTTATCCAAAGCGTTTGATCGGGTCAACCACCATCTTTTACTTCACAAACTTGCAGCTTATCATGTACATCCTCAGTTACTTAACCTGTTACGTAGCTATTTAACTGATAGGAAACATCGAGTGGTTGTTGAAAGTGAATGTTCCAGCTGGTATCCAGTCCCTACAGGTGTCCCTCAGGGCTCAGTGTCAGGTCCATTGTTATTCACCTTGTTTATTAATGACCTACCATCAAGTCTTATGAACAGATCACTACTGTTTGTAGATGATATGAGAGTTTTTCGCCAGGTTTTTAATGATTATGATTGTGTCTCTTTACAAGATGAATTAACAAGATTAGGTGCATGGTGTACAACGTGGAAATTAAATCTTAACCTCCAGCAGTGTTCTGTAATGAGCATAACATTAAAAAGGAAACCTGTCATGCATCGCTATGCTATATCTGATTATGTTTTGAACAGTGTTCTATTCAGCGAAATCTTGGAATTTTTATAGAAAACAGGTTAAATTTTGTATCTGGTGTTGATTTTATTGTAAAGAAGGCGAATCGCATTATTAGCTTGGTGTGGCGAAACTTCTGACATTGTAAAAGTGAACATGTACTTCGTACACTGTGCTGCTCCCTAATCAGACCCAAAGTGGAATATTGCACAGTGATATTTACATGTAATCCTACTTCTCACTCACAATCTAAGCGACTGCCAGAAAGACTGCAACAGCGTTATTTAATGTTTATGTATAGGGTCCTACACAATGATCGTCGTATTATATCTTACTCTGAACTGTGTGACTTGTTTAATTTGCCAACTCTCGTCCAGAGGAGAACAGTCAATAATTGCTTATTCCTCTACAAACATATCCATAACCATTACAATTTAACTACCAATAACCCACTTTCCTTCCATGTTCCAGAACGCCGAACCAGATCTGCACCCAAACACATCATGCATGTTCCGTGGAGCCGGGTGGAGGTAACGAAGCAAGGCTTTGTTTCAAGGATTTCAACTGCCTACAACCGACTCCACGAGATGTGTGATGTGTTTGGGGTGCCTACATTGAATTCGTTCCGTACAGAGATTAACAGAAATTCTTCGCACTCATAACTCAATTATGTACATGTAAACTGCCACAGGTTTAAGCTAGTTTTACACTGAATGATTTTAACTTAAATGTATGTATTTACTCACATGTATGTTTATACAATTATTGATTTATTTACGAGTAATTTAGATTTGTCCCTTTTTTTTATTTTACCCGTAAGTCAGTTTTTATTATTAGTTGTTTTTTGTTTTGTTTTCCATTATACTTGTAAGTGGCGGATCTCCGCTGTTGGATATCAGAATAAATAAATAAATAATAAAAAATAAAATCTCAAAATCGATTGAAATCGTTTTGGGGCTGTTTCTACTTTGACCCGTTTCCACTTGATTTTGAAAAATAATGTTAGAGCAAAGGTTTTGATCCTCAAGTCCAGGGCCAAAGTTTTAACGCCTCAAACCTGAAGGCCAAGCCTTTATTCTAAAGGCCAAAGCCCTCTAGTATAAACTTACTATTAATATTTTTTATAATTATAACATGTCACATTATAATCTATCATAAATTAATCCACTCATATACAATATAATTCACTTATCTGATGACAAGGTATTTTGGCTACCTTATTTACATGTAGATACTCAAATGGCAGGCATTTCAATGCAAGCCCACTAGTTAGTTATTACACCAATCTAAAATCCAGTGTTAGATGACAAGTACAATGAATTCTGCATGGCGTGCTTAAGATCAGAGTATGTGTATGTGGAAAGTGACCCTACTTTGACCTTTTGATTAGCAAAATATCAGTTACTGAGTGCAATAAACTCAGAGTATAATCAGCAGTCTGTAGCAGAAATCAGATGATATTGTCTACCTCATATAACTGCATGCAAGTTAAATATATTTATATCTCCTTGGTCCGAGAAGTACATGACACAGAAAATTATTATACATTTAGTTTTGTTTGGGGGAAGCAGTACGATGTCCTAGGCCTACCACTGTAAAAGTGATGATTTCTAAATCTGGCTTGTCTTCCCTCCGACATGGTATGATGATTTTGCAGAAAATTCACAGATGACCATAAGGTGTATGTTTGCAGAACAGCAAAATTTCAAACAAATGTACCCGGAAATTTTAAAAAAATGATGGGCCTTGAAGACCAAGGCTATAATATTGCAGACATGGATCAAAAGAAGGTCAAGACTGTTGTGCTTAAGCCTTAAGGCTAAGGACAAGACCTTAACACCAAGCAGGCGGCCTTAAAAGCCAAGGCTCAGGATCAAGGCACTACATCACTGACATATACCGGCATGTAAAACTTCACGTTTGATGATTTGAATGACTATGCACTTACCTGGTCATATTTGCACCAATCACATGTGACAATTTCACAGTTTGTTGCAGGAATGATCATTCGAGCTGCACCAGGACTTTTGATATCCCATAACCTCAATGTGTGGTCTCCTTTTATATAAAAAGAAAAATACAAACCATTAGCTAAGGCCTTGTATCCCATTCAACATTAAAATGTAATTTTTCTGCAGATGATTGGATATTATGTAGATATCATAACAGGTACCCTCTAATGGGGCCGAGCCACGGATGTACATTAAAAAATCTGGACTTGCAATTCCCTTCATCAGCTTATAGAGATCATTGAATTCACTAGCGGCCATTCTACCGAGCCGAATTCAACGTTTGCCCAGCAATTCCTGCCTTTGTTCTCCCTGGTGTCAATAGAAGCGAGCCAACCCACACATTTGTATTCAGCTCGGTAAAATGGCCGCTGGTTGGCTTTTATTTCATACAAAGGCATTGCAAGTCCAGTTTTTTTAAGTACGTCCGTGGGACAAGCCCACCAGTTGGAGAGGGACACAAACTCAGAAATAAGTCACATGGAGCAAACACAATCAAATTTTGGTTTCCGAAAAATATTCATGGAAAAAGAAAACAATGATTATTTTAACTCTCTCTGGTAGAAAAATTGCAAGTTCTTGCGAGTCAGAATGAAAACAAGTATTGAAGTGTACATGTAGCTGCAGTGAATTTTTCTGAGACAAATCTTATGCAATTTTTTACTCTTCTTCAATGTATAAAACCCCTTTTACACTCCTATTTGGTTAAATACACTGGAAAGCGCACTTTTTAAACACTTAAATTATCCATGCTTTCCTGGACAACCGAGGGCCCTGTTCCTGTGATGTCACCCGGGGAACACATAGCTCACAGCACAGGTTTTTCTGTTAAAATTGTGAACCGAGAGTTTACTTTCTGAAAATATTTCTGAGAAAGATATTGATTCTTGATTATTGCTATGCACATAAGCAACAATGAATCAGAATCAGCAAAGAACAAAAAAAATTGGTCCAGCAATTGAAAATTATGTGGGACTTTTTTGTGTACAGACCAATGTCACATTGAGCTTTTCTTCCTGTGACGATATCACAGTCTTGCTCATGAATATGGAAATATCCTTTGTATAAAAATCATAAAAGGCAATAAAATATCTTTGCAGTGTGAAACAAAAACTGTAAATAACGTTAACTGAGATACAATGGTGCATTTTGAAATTTGTATCAAAAGAAATTAATTGCAGCTGCCCTTCAAGAAATGAAGGATTTTTTCAAGTACACTTGTGGGTCCCATGATACTTCGCAAAAATAACATATTAAAGTACAGATAAATGTAAACTTACATGAATTGATGAAGAAGGCTGATGGAAAATATAAATTATACAGAATGAAAGGGGATAGATCACCTCTTGTAGCCAAAAGGAACTCAACATTTACACAAACTAAGAAAAAGAAACTAACATTTGCCAGTGGGCAGGGTCAGCCCAAACAAATCTTCTGTTCCAACAACAAGCACAGTTGACTACTCCAGTAAGTGTGCAATTGTACAAAAGACACACTGGGAGATCGGTGCATAAGTGCAGGCAAGGGTTCCAGCGTTCACATATATATTTGTACCAATTAGCATGGCACAATACTCCAGGTGAAAAAATGTTTAGTATTGGAATATATGACTTTATTATAAAAAGATTTAGACCTTTTCTATTACTACCACAAAACACACATTCAATGTACCTCATGTGGAACTGATTCTTAGATAAGAGACTTAAGAGATCTTGCCGCCACTGCATTGCTTAGGGATTTTACTGTTATTTACCTGAAGCTGACGCAAAGCAGCCTGGGACATAAGGAGACCATATGGCACTATAGACAATGTGTTGATGACCAGTGAATGTTGCCAGGGAATGGTGGTGATTGGGATCCCACTGCAAAAATCCAAATCATTATTTTGTTATTCAATAATACATACAAAGATACATGGCATCAAGCTACTGAAAACATTCCTTTGCCATATCCACTCAAACCTCTGCCCCTTAGTAACCAATAACTGAATATATGAATAAAATTCCCTGTCCCTGAATGTCCCTCCCCATTAATAACAAGTGTTGTTTTAAGCTAGTTACACAAAAAGCCCATCAGCAGTTTTGAAATATGTGACCCACTCCAGGAAAAGGTGATGTAAGTTGCACCATGCATTTACAAGCAATGACCCGCTTAACATTGGATTCGAAAATTCCTTTTTTCCGACAAAATCATTGAAAATACTAATTCCTTAGTCCTTGTGCGAATTTTGAAGGTGATTGTAACACAAGAACATGTTAGTTGCCAAGTAAGATTTAAATGCCTACAACCAACATCAGAGCCAGATATTTCAAAGCCTGTTTTCTTGGTTTTGCAATTTCAATTGCCTGGAATTAATATGCAAATGTGTCATAACTCTGGAATGGGAAAGGCTATGGAGACTTATCATATACCAAATGAAAGGTTACAGTGTGGGCTTTCCAGTCATGTATATAACTTGATTTTGTTTTTGTTGCAACTTGTATCGCTTTTTCCTAGAGCGGGTCACATATAAAACAACTACAATAATGACTACTCCTTTAAACAGCAAATTCGAATACCCTACTACATAATAAGGTCACATGGGAAAGAAGCATGTCCAGTATGAACTAATTGTGTAATACTGACCAGTTTGGCTGTTTTGTCCCATGATCCTGTCACCACAAAATTTTGGTCTCTGGTCTGGCTCCAATGCACACTGTAGACCTGAAGACAGATTCATAAGAAACATACATGTACATCCACTCACCAGAAATCAAATATACATGTACAGTAAGAACACAGAGCATAACGTTTATAAGAAACACAACTTGCTCAGCCTCAATAAGCCACAAATAAAGGCCACATGAGCTGATATGTACAGCGTCTAATCCGTTTGATTGGGATACACATTGGGTATTCTATTGTTAGTAATCCCAGTGGGGAATGGGTCAGCCTGGCTTCACATTCGTGTTGCGTGAAATTTGACCGAGATATTCACTTCTGAACGTTCACACTAATGGTCAGAAAGTACTTCGGGTCCAATCATAATTCCACCCTGTGTGTATACACAAGTCATAGTCATATAATGTACCATAGTGCCCTTTTTAAGATTATTGTTTCCCACAGTTCCAAAGATTTCCCAAAAGCCTTCAAATGCTCTTTAAAACATTTAGCAAAATAGGACGAACTTCAAACATCCTGACAGCGATCCAACTTTAATATAACTGCACATTACCTCTTTGGTGTGCTCCTTGAATGCTTTGACTGGACCCTGAAAAGAAAGAGAAATAATTTACATTGTTGCTAAATAGAGTAATCTCTAGCCCACTTAGACTGTAATAGTAATGCATGTCAAATGTAACCACGAATATTCTTGAAGCTACATGTATCTCACCTTGGCTTGTGTGATGTCCCAGATCTGTACTGTGCCATCACCACTGCCACACACAATGATGTTCTTATTACATTCTGACCAAGCCAAATCAAACAGGCCCTCATTCCATTCATAACTGAGGGAAAATACAAACAATGTTACAGGATGTACAACATAGCACTGTACTGGTTTTTAACCAGTCTGGTTCAAAACATTCTGATACGATTGTTGGTTTAACAGTCAACACAAGCAGCCTTTGATTACACTCAGAAGAACCTTATTTTCAGCTACTCAGGTATGGTACATGTATGTTGGATTTTGTATGATGGTTTTGTTGCATGGTGATTATTGTTACTAAAAAAAGTTCAAGGGAAATGGAGGTTAAACCTACCAAAAAGAATTTCAAGTACATGTACAGGTGGCAAAACAGGACATTTACCTGTTGAGAAGCACTGCTCCTGCTGGCAAGACATCAATGACAAACAAACTACCTTTGCCTATAACAGAGCAGACAGAATGAAACTATCAACTGACAGTGACGATGCAATGACGATAAGTGATCAGTAAAAATTAATGTTGACACCTGCTCTAAGCAATAAACTTGAAGTGCTTTTTATTACTTGTAAGTGCTTGAGCCAAAATTTACATGTAGCTCAACAAACCAAACCATTTGCATGAGAAAGAAATGGTCCTTGGGCTAAAAACTGGCTTCTCACTGACAGAAATGTAATTTAGTTTGTAGGGCACTTACCTGCAATACCAAAATGCTGAGAAGTTGCTACAGCTAACCTCTGTGGCAAATAGGGTGAGAACTGGACAGCATAGCCCTGGCGGCCTGGGGAACGAAAGGCAACTGGGGGCCGAAACATTGTGGTATTGGAGCACACTGAAGAATATCTACATGTACACGTGTACCTATCTGGAGGGAATGCAATAAGTATAACTTGTTTCGTACGTTTATAAGATGCACTGCATTTTTATGATTATGTGCACTGCATTTTTTCAAACCACCCAGTAGCAAGTGGTTAAAGTTATCCATGTCAACTCAAAATTCTGTCTGCAGAAAGCTTCTTATGGGTAGTGCTAGCTATGAAACTCCCATGAGAATCTGAACATATGCTAGATGAGATCCACCTAATTTAACTCCTTATAACTCTAAAATTTCCACAAGGCAAGGTATTTCATCAGCCACATTTGAGGTCAGAATAAAAATCTGAAGTGATAATTAATATGGATCTCAGATAATACTTAAAGGTTTTCAGGGTGAAAGAACTATATGAGTAAAAAGATTGCGGTTAAACCATGAATAAATCTCTTTCTTGAGTATGTGTGGTTCTGAGAAGAACTGGGGCAATCGTTTTATTAATATGAATCTCAACATTTACTCAGCACAGGGACCAATAAGACAAGTTAGACAACTGATTATTTTTAATTGCACTTCAAATGAGCTTCACATCAAATGATATCTTGACATATCATTTCAAAAGATAGTTGCTAGTGCAATGATATACATGTATGTACATAGTTTGGACAATAAATGCCTCTTTGTGAGTGTTGACTTGTATTAAAGCTTTTGGTTACCCTTGTGCTTCCTGAATGCCTGCTGCATTGTGTTTAGTTACATGTAGCTTCATTTAGATTGATTATAATATTTGTTAATACAATTTTTAAATGTGGTTCATAACCTCTGTGTGGGGGAGTTCTTGGTGGTCCAGTGGTAATAGTGGTAAGAGTCACTAACTCAAGATGAGGAGGTTTTGGGCTTGGTCTATTCAAGCCCAAACCACAAACTGCGGTCTGAGTTCAGAATTTATTGTACACAAAAGACATGTACCCGGCTCTTCCACTAACTACATGTACTATACCATGAACTCCAGGCAGGAGTTAAACTATGACGTATCCTTGTTGGGCATCAACGGCTGATTAGCAAATTTGTCAGATCACTCTGGTCGATGGGTCAATTCTGTATGGGTCTTCAAGTTTCAAGTTCAAGTTTATGTATCAACAAATCGTGGAATAAGATCAACCGATTGCCCAAAGATTGAGTAATCCCACAGATTGACATGGGAGGACATATATGTAGGAGCCAATTTGTTTAGACATTTAAAAAGAAGAACAGTCTTTTTAGATCTAACTCTCTCGGAAAATGGTACCCAGTTCAGTGTAGCAAACATATTTGCTGAGGGGATGAGAGAGGTGCATTTGAGGATTATCCGTGCAGCTCTTTTTAGACATTTGTTAAAAGTGGTATCGTGGGATATGTACATGTCTTCCTCATACCGTGCAAAGGTATTCTAAAGTTGGCATAACTAAGCTAATGAAAAGTGTGTGCAGGCTACTTTGTCCGACGTAGTTCCGGATTCTGTTTAACATACCTTATTTTTTCTTACGTAATCAACATGTGGGCCCCAATAATAGCTCCCAAGCATTTACAAGATTTTTCTTTGACAATTGGGCTATCAGCAATGTAGAGGTTCAATTCTGTATTGGCGGTTTTCTGCCTTGAGCCAATAAGCATGTATTTGGTTTTATTTGTATTTAGTTCAAGTTTGTTTCTTGAGCACCAGTGTAGAATTCTGTTAAGAGCTACATTCAGATTCCTTTCTATTTCATTAATATTGGAAGAGCTGCATATATCTATATACATATACAAGTTACAATTTGTTGGGATACAGGATGGCAGATCACTTGTGTAAATAATGAATAAAAGCGGTCCTAAAATCGAACCCTGTGGGACACCAACGGTTAGAGGCAGAACCTTTGATATCTTACCCTCAATATTTACCGACTGACTACGGTCGCTTAGGTATGATTTAAACCAACCAATTAGTGAAGTAGACATGTTAAGCTTTTTTAATTTTTCAAGAAGAATTTCATGGTCAACACAATCAAATGCTTTACTGAGATCTATAAATACACTACAGTACTTCTCCATGCTCCATAGCCTGGAAACATCTATTTGTCAAATCGTGTAGGGTGGTTTCAGTTGAGTGCAAGGGTCTAAATCCTGACTGGAAACTAGGAATTAGGTTATTTTCTTCAACGTACATGTAAGTGTATACTGACAAGTGCACCCACCTTTCCAAAATCTTTGAGACAATCGGCAGTATAGAGATAGGATGATAATTGCTTACACTACATTTGTCTCCTCACTTGTGAATTGGAGTCACCAGAGCATATTTCCAGTCTTAGGGATATCTCCCACATGTGATGGAGAGGTTAAAAATATGAGACATTTGGTAATACATTGGGAAGCCATTTTGATCATTTTAACACTTATCCCCTCCGGACCTGCTGATTTCCCTACTGACATTGATGATATTTGCTTTCGAATAAATTCTTCTATTATGTGAGGTATCATGCATTCATCGTTGGGGGAGTCATGGACAGGAGCATCAGCATTATCATCTTTTCGAGGCTCATACTAGGGACCATTACTACGTTTTCCAATTGTATAAATGTGTTCGTTAAATATACCAGCAATGTCAATAGGATCATCAATGTCTTTTCCATTTGGACAAGGGATGGAGTTTGGCACACTTTTCTGATTCTTCGGGAGAGCCTCCTTTATCTTTTTCCATAGCATGCATGAATTGCTTTTGCTTTCTTCTATGGCTGACTTGAAGTATCTGCTTTTCTTTTGACGTATTTTCTTAGTCACCGTGTTACGCACTTTTTTGTAAGAATCCCAATGTACACTGTACTTGTGAACCTGTGCGTTTGGCGATTTTGTGCACACGATCACGTTGCTTCATAAGTCAAAGAAGTTCCCCATCTAGCCAGTGTAAGAAGGCACCCCTAATATGTTCAGTTCTAATCAATGACAAAGGAATGTTTTGTCACAGCTCATTTGAATACATGTACATGTACAATGTAGCTTGTTAATTAGCTTAAAACTGAATGACTTGTGATGGATTTACAGGGATTTGCTGGGACTTGTGATGGTCAACACTGTCAATATTATCAGCCCTTAGAAAGAGATACATTACAACCAAAACTGTCCAATTTAGCAAGGCAAATATTTAAGTGTTTACTTGAATGGGACCGACATACATGTACATGTATGTAGACCGTGAACACTTTCATGTGCACGGTAAGGTTAACAAGCTACCTGTACATGCACTTATCATGTATAGACACAACAGACCTAAAATTAACAATTTACTTGTTGATGTGCCCTAACATGGCATGGTCCCTTATATTACATGTATGGGGCACACTTTGATTCTTCACTTGTCATGCTTGTAGTGCCTTGCCACAGCAATATTTTTACTTCAGATATCATTGTAAGCGGAATTTCATTGAATTCCCAACATTCTGATTTAAAAATCTTGATTTTACGCACCCTCTACCAAGTTTAGATAAAATTTTATTTTGGCCAAGTTTTCCATTTTTTTTTATAACTCTTTTCAAATATGCCCAGAAAATACAAAATATTTTTATAACAAACTTGTGGTTGGGTCTTCCTTCCTCCATGGTATATGCTATTAAGGGGAGGAAATAATCTACTAAAATTATCAACTTTAAAAACTTCTTAAGTGTTTACGCCTGGGGCCTATGTTATGTAGGCCATAGGCCTACATAACATAGGCCTACATGTACATGCATGTAGTATTTTTCTGACGTTTTTCGAGTTTAACCAACATAACCAAGCATCATTCTGTTTAAGTAAGTAGGCCTGTAGTATCATGGAGGTAGAATCACCCCATGGTAGTATTAATCAAAATGCATTTACATTTTTTTTGACAAAAGGTTTAGCAATACTGTATGACATGTGGAAATCAAGCGAAAGTCAAATGCGCCACATCATGATCATGGAAACCAGTGCTAGTAAAATCATGGAGGTGATACAATATGTCCGGATACTGGGCACTTATTACGTAATACAAAAATGATGCTATATTTGTGATTATATAGTCCGAATAACTAGGACTCTGCGAATCGCCCCCCCCCACACACACACACACGACCAAATAATAAAAGACGTGATTTGTGGAGCCCTACTCGGACTAGGCCAATATGGACAACTAAACTCACTCAGCTTATGCTCATCCACAATTCACAAGACGATCATCGCCATAGGCGCGGCCATCTTGAAATTCAGGTTTAAATTTGTGAACAGTAAATATCTTTTTAAAGGAAACAATATACAAAATTTTGCATTTTCTCTAAGAGTTCAGAAGTAAATGTGATTCCTCTGATCTTTATTTTGTTTTACCGAAACTGTATATTTTGGTATAATTGATAAAAATATTCGATCACGCAAATTTAGTAAGATTGAAAGAGACAAAGTCTCGCGCAATAGCCTAGTTCTCAACTTCGAGGAGTTCGCTTTTTCGTGTCATCAATGCCAGTGGACGTGCGCCTAGCCGGCTGATGAAGCGTGTGCAAGGGGACAACCCTGGTTAAGTTGGGGGGTAAACGTCCGTCACTGCTTATATTTATCTTATATGTCCGTTGCTTTTATGTTTGGTATTTTAACAACTGAGCACGTGGATGGAATTTTACTTTGAGAAATACGTTCATGACGTTGCCAAATGTTCAGTTTATCATGTTCACGATTACCCGAGAAATGTGGGGTCCAATGTCGGCCTCGCTCCCACGTGGACATGGTGGACGCCGGACCCACAGTTTTTTCTAGGTGTAGTTGAGGATTACTTCCTGAACAGTAAGGCACTACTCCGTAAGCCTTTCTGGGTCCTTCTTTTTAATGGTTCGGTGTGCTATGGCATTTTGAAAAGTGCCCTGCAATCATATCGGAGAAAACGTCCGTTTGTGCTTTCTGAAGCAAATCTTCCCCTAGGCTAAATACCCATACTATAGGTAAAGCTAACCTGTATGGAACTACCGGGCATGAGTGTATTTTTTGTAGCTTTTAAATCTGTATTATTGGCAAAAATTAAGGTTTTCTGCACCATCCTCGCCTTTCAGCCCTCGACGATCCACACATCTGCATTCGTGTGGTTCCCTGTTCACAGATTTCCCTGACGTCTCTATACATATTCATAACGAGAGTAGTTGGAATTACAGGGACTGGTATCCAAAGCAACATAAATGTTTGTTACATGAATACGCTGTGCCTGTTTTTGTCTTGTGATGTACGGCCACAGAGAATGCAGATGGGTGTGGATGGTTGAGGGTAGCCCCACTAGTGTGGCACGGATCACTCCCTAGTTATCCTTAGCCACACATCCGTATGCGCAATTTCGTGTCGGCGTACTGAACATTTTTGGCGCACCCACTTATAATCGTGGGCGCAATTTCTTTTGCATACGAACATGATTCTTGACCTTTCCGTTTTCTAAATACCATTTATTGAATGATTTCACTCACGTTATTCAGGTATTTTTCAGTCTTTTTTCCTTTATCCATTCAATCTAACAGGCTCACTCTCACAGTCGCCATCTTTAAAATAAGGTCGTTGAGCATTACGTCACTTGACCCCTCGTCGTCTCAGCGGCTGTTCCATTTCAAGACATGTAATAAACGGACTGAGCGATAAGATACTACATGTACATGTACCAATGGACTCTTCCGAAACTTTGGCAGCAGTTTAGATGTGTGGCTAAGGATAAATTGGGAGTGATCCGTGCCACACTAGTAAGGCTAGGTTGAGGGATGAAAGGTGAGGATGGTAGAAAAAATCTCATTTTGTGCCAATAATGTAGGTTAAATGCTACAAAATACACCCGTGCCTGGTAGTTCCATATAGGTTAGCTATTATTACAGAATCTTTAGGGGAATATTTGCTTCAGAAAGCACAAACGAAGGGTTTCTCTGGTACGATCACCTCACATTTGCAGGGAGCTTTTCAAAATGCCACAATGAACGGAACCATCCAACAGATGGACCTAGTAAGGCCTATGGAGTAGTGCCTTACTGTTCAGGAAGTAGCTTAGGATGATGTCAACACATGTCTAATAATACTAGGCCTAGGGCCTTCTTGTAGAACAAGAAGTCACTATTCTGTTTGACTTAGACATTGTTAAAGGGCTTTGACATTTTAGTGGTTCATAACACGGGGATTGTATGGGCCTATTTGGGAACCCCTCAGAATTTTGTTGTTTTAATTTCTTAGGCTAAAACTGGTTAGACCCCCTCAAAACCAAAGGTAGGCCCTAAGTGTATGTGTAACAATGCTTAATGCTTTCTTTATTTACACATATTTTAGCTGACCCTCTGTTTTTTAAATTTTGAATTGTAGACCAAAATTGTGAGAAGATGTGACATTCTTACTGATAAAGTGGCCATGCAAATTTTACTCCACCATGTGTCATGTTAAAACACAGTTTTCCTCAAAACATGCAAAACTCAGCCCTCTTTTCACAGCATCAACTTAGTGTTGGAGTACATTGTACATGTACCGGTACTTGTACACAAGTACAGCTCTTGCATGGGGTACACTAAAGTATGCAGCCTCCACTTGATTATCAGTACTCGAAAACTAATTGTACACTGTACTTGGCCCATAATTGATTTTTTGTACTTGGATTTTGGGTGTATCAACCGTTACAAAGTTGTACTCTAGAAAAAAGTTGAGTACTTCACTTTTTATTGATAGAAGTAGTATTTTCGGAAGCTTGGTGACACACAACATGAAACACAACACGACACAGCAGTTTCATTCTGTAGTCTGTAATATATATATACAGAATGCTTTCCAAGCCCTGGGTACATGTACTAAGGAGCCATTCCGCTTGTCTAGTTTCTGCCTCTGCAGCTATAATCATAGGGCTTATACGAGCTGAGCCTATGGTCTGTGAGCGTTGCATCATTTCCCTCGGTGCAGGCACATGGACTGACTCTTACCGAGTGTTCCGTATCTGCAAAGCTAGTCATAAAACCGGTCAAATCTGCCTGAGTCACTATCAGCGGCCAGAAAGTATCCAGTGTCGATAAAAGACCTTTAAAAGCGGAATATAAAACATGCATATACCAACTACTTGTGCCCAGCAATTCGCTTTACATGTATGTTAGCTGTTTCATCCATGTCTAACATCCAGTTGACTGTCCTACAAAACAAGATCACGCAAACCCTGAAAAAGTGACTGAAACTGGTGAAATGCACAACACTAGCAGCATTGTTCCATACTCAGTCCCTCAACTTGCCGTATCTGCCACACTTAGAACAAAAATGCAAAATATATTTGGTTCTCTCCATCTCCAAAATCAGATGAGACCCTATGGTAACACAAATCTGAAAGACTCGCTTTACAACCGTCCCACTTCATGTAAATGGGAGAGCTTCATACCGAAAATCTTCAGACTGGCAATTGACAAAGTCAGAGAAGTTGTGACCAGTGACTCAACAAACAATCAACCAGCTTCAAAGCGGATCAAACAAGTGCACAAAGACCATTACCAGCAATGGGGAGACTCAGCTGGACAAATTAACAGTGCAGTCTAAACTCCTTGATATCATCAAGCTGGAAAACGAGTCTGAGGCTTGGAAATGTGTTTGTTATTGTCTCACTAGTGGGCAACTTGCCTTTCTCATCAGAGCTGGCTGTGATACCTTACCCTCTCCAGTTAACCTGGCAAGATGGAAAGTGCAACACGATACAAGATGCAAGCTCAGCCATCAGCCAAGGGCCACCCTAGCACACATCTTGAGCGCATGTGACAAAGCCCTGACATTTGGCCATTATACTTGACACCATGACTGTGTCCTAAAATGTATTGCTAAACATATTGCCTCCAGTCTTGAGAGCGGTGACCAGCAGCTCCTTCTGATTGTCGACCTGCCCGGGATGATAACTAAACACAGCACCATTTCTATGGCAGTTTGCTCTACTAATCTGTGATCAGACATTTTCTGCAAAATAGAAAATCCTGATGCATAATAGGAGAATCGACCATTCCAAATAATAGCATAGACAACATGGCCAAAGCCAAGGCCTGCAAAACCACTAAATACCAGGCTCTCGTGGTCGACCTTTCTGAGCATTTCGAAGGGTTGTATGTGATAACTCTCAAGGTAGGGGTATTGGGTCATTATTCACCTGACCTCATATCAGCCATGTCCGCCCTTATGCCTGGTTCAGGAAAGAGGTTGATAAAGTGTCTGCTAACAGACATCACAAGAACTGTAGTGAATGCCTCATATACCGTATTCTGTGGTCGTAACAGTGATGGAGACTGGGCTCATAAACTGCTTCTTTACCATTACAAGGATAAACGTACAGTATATGTGAATAATTTAATTTGCATCCCCATGTTGATGATCCATTATATGTAAGCCAATGCATGAAGTTATCTTACCCTTTTGCCCTCTTACATTTTTACCTGTAACATTCTTTAATCAACATCTATCTTGTCTTAGAAGCTGCCTCAGATCAAAATGTTAACCTTTTAACGTTACATATGAATGGATATAAAAATTTGGATGGTTGGATTACTGATTCCTTTCTCACCAGTGTCACATACATGTACCTTTATTCTTAGGTTTTCTTTACAAATGTAGTTACACGGTACATGTATTCCTCTTTTTGCATCACATGCGTTTTTTTTTACCTCTCCCCTTCCCCTCAATCCAGTATGTTTTTATTTTTTAGTTAAAATTTGGTAGGTATTTTTTTTGGTCTCTGTTGATGCCATGCCAGGCCTCTCCAAGCCTTCCCCCTTGCTTTTTCGCCGATGTCCTAGGTTGAACGCACTCTTCTAATTGCTTCTGTTTACAAATTGTTTAGTGTCTTTCCATGGTGCTCTTTTGTTAACTTGTGCTATTTGTCCATTTGTAAACTTCTCCGACCTGGGTTTGTAACTTTAATTCTCTTCTTAGCTTTTGATGTTTCTTATTGGCAATTGTTTGATGTCAATTAAGGTATTTCAAACACCTACATGTATGACTTATGGGTTCAGGATTGTGCGACCGACTATTTATTGATAAGAAATTGAGCTGTTACCACTCTCTCATTCTCCTGACAAAAACGATGCAAACACATCGCACATTTCGCCTGCATCACACAGTGCGTGCGTCAGGTTGATGGCTGACCGTTGTGTATCAGTTTGACCATTTTCAGAAGCGGGGAAATGGAATCTTCTTTTCATTACGCAACTGTCCTATGTGTGTCTTGGCTGGCATGCCCTCTACCGGGTACATGTACTGTACATGTATGCTACAGTTGTATAAAGCTGTTGATTTGGTTATTTCTTTGAGTGTATCAGTTTTGAAACATTTGGACAGTTAAAACGTAGTATGGGGATTCCAAAACTAACACTTCCACCAACAGCAAAAATATGTACACTGTAGTTATTTGCAGCTTACATGTACATGCACCAGTGTGTTACTGATAAACAGGCTGACAGGGATTGCACTTCGTGTTTTTTCAGTGGTTTTTTCCATGTAAAAGGAACCATTTGGAGTAACTACAGAATACCATGAACTACATGTACATGTATCTCCTAGGGATATTTTGACTATACTTACAACTGTTCGTGTACCCTAAAATGGCGTTATGTGGTGCAGCCCTACATACAGAACTTTCAAGAAATAGTTGTATGGTTTTAAAACCATAGGTCATCAGACTTAAAGAGATACATGTATGCATCAGTTGCGAAGGCTTTTAAGCTTAACTGGGCTGCATTCAAAACCCATGGCATTACAAACCCATAAAAAGTTGTAGGGCTGCACATCACATTGAGTAGTGACTTACAGTTCTCTGAGATCTGTTCAACTGTGCCTGATTGTTATGGCACTGTCGGCTGAATTTGTACCCATTTTTCAATTTCGAACTACATTTCATGACACTTAAATTGTCCACAAAGGTTTAACAGCATGTAAATGTACAGTATAATAAAGGCATGAAAGGTAATAGTACCGATGTTTAACAGTATGACTCTGAAGGTTTCCAACATACCTACCTCATGCCTACCTCATGTGAAAATCAATCAGGAACTTAACAAGTTCCCACAGAAGAAGAATTCAGAATTGCCATCAAACAACTCTCCTATGGCAAAGCACCAGGACCAGATGCAGTACCTTCCGAAGTGTACAAAGCAGGAGGACCCGCCATGTTGCAGAAACTTACAGACCTTTTCCAATATTTGTGGAACAACGGGAAGGTCCCACAGCAGCTGAAAGATGCTACCATTGTTCACATCTACAAGAGGAAAGGCAATCACCAGTCTTGTGACAACCACAGAGGCCTCTCTTTCTTGTCCATTGCGGGGAAGATACTGACTCAGGTTTGCTCAATCGCCTCCTTCATACACCTCGATCAGAGTCTTCTCCCAGGAAGCCAATGCAGCATTTGGAAGATTTTGTGAAAACGTCTGTCAGCGGAGAGGTCTCAGCCTTGCTACCAAGCTGAAGGTCTACCATGCTGTGTCACTCACCACCCTTCTCTACACCAGTGAGACCTGGACTGTCTACAGCAGAAAAGCCAAACAGCTCAACCAAGCCTATCTGAGCTGTCTCCGCAGGCTTCTCCGTGTCAGGTGGTGGGACAAACTACCAGACACGGAAGTCCTGACACAAGCCAGTATCCCAGCATCTAAATTCTCCAACAGAAAACCCAATAAGCCGGATGGGCAAGCCATGTTGTCAGAATGCCTGACAGCCAACTCCCAAAACAACTGATGTACATGTACGTGTATGGAGAACTGTGTCAGGGCAAGTGCTTAGTCGGGACAGAAGAAACAGTCAAGGACAGTCTTAAAGTGTCCCTCAAAATCCTGAATATTAACCCCCACACCTGGGAGCGGCTTTCTCAAGACCATCCCACATAGTGAAGTAGAATCACAAAAGGATCTAGTACCGCACTGGAAAGACATCTTGTAGAGGCATAGAGAAAGTGTGCTGTCCACTAGGCGTGGGCATGGCTTCCAGGCCCAGATTGGCCTAATCAGCCGTTTTCAGACCCACAACCATCAACAATGTATTTGATTTGAAGTCATACCATGGTTATCATCGACTTTAAAGGACGGACAACAACAAAAGCCTTTTGTTATAAAAAAAAATTAAGCAGAACTGCAAAGCACAGATAAAAGTTAAATAGAGCAAAAATCAATTAAAGCAGTGCTCATAAGAAAGTGTAAGGAGATGAAGGCCTCCTACTTTTTAACAAGAAATAAAATGCCAAAATAGTTCTAATCTTTTAGTAAAATAAGTTTTCACATTGGTTTTAGTGTAGTTAACAAATGTGGGACATTTGTCTTGTCACTTGCCTGAACATTATTTCTAATCGCATTCATTTACATTTACATGTATTGACATCCTTGACAGAGACATTTGGTTTGCTTTTATTACAGAGTGTCTTGTGTAATACTTTCCCAAGCAAGCACTTGATACTTGATTTGGATGCAAAATGCTTCCATCTGACACCGCACGCCTTGTGCTAAGTAAGCAAAAATTGTCCATAACATTTATTTCCTGACCAATAATTGTAAAGAATGTACATGTACACATACAGGAATTGCATTTCAAAAGTCTATGAAGAGATCACAGTCTGGTGCCAAGGGTAAGTTCCTCAAGAAGACAAACGTATGCAGGCATCTTAGTTTAATACATGTTGATTCAAAGAGATTTCAACTGAAATCCATTGTATAACCTTGTGGTTCTCATCACAGCTCTTATTTTGAAAACTTAAGCTGTACAGTGGATTTCAGTCTTAAAAAGCTGCCTGTGCCCTATCGCAAGAAAGGGGAAATTGTATTGGTAAATTATATGTTCATGTGTTTGTCAAAATATATGCAGACAGAGATGTACAGCAACAGATATACTTCCAATCAATTTGAAATACACAAATGTCACTGCTTTCTTGTTTTCTTTCACAAAGTGTACCTCAAAGATGAAGGTCTTACTCGCACCTACCGACAGTTCTTTAATGAAAGTCCCCACCTAGAAGAGCTAAGATATCATCCTGATATTGAACCATCGGTAAGCAAAGAACAAAGCTCAGGCATATTGAACTTTTCAGAATTTTATCAAGTGCAAAATTTTATTTAGAATTCAAAGGACAGCTACATGAAATGTTGAGCAATAGATACACATTGACAATGAAAGCAAACTAAAATAAGTCCACATTGTTTACCCAATTCAATACAGATCCCATATGAGAAGGGTTTGACAGAAATTCTGAATGAGTATGCAAAGATCATCAATGCAAGTAAGTGTGGTGCAAGGTATTTTAAAAAAGAGATTTGATATGGGTGATTCACACTACAGAGTGCCACCTAGTGGTTGTCATGGAGAGGCCATTTTTCAAGTTTACAGTCGACAACAAAATGGTCAACTTGCCATAATTTGCTTTTGATCAATTGCCAGTAGACCAGTTTAGGAAATGTGTGACTGATCAGGGCATTCCATGCCTCACAGAAACACCGTTTTATATTAACACCTGTACACGCTAATACTCCTGAATCTTCAACCCAGTCAAAAAAATGGCAGAACAATTCAAGCTCCCAGCACACAATGCAGCCGATGTAAAGAACTTTTGTCAACCATTTTCCCACAGTGCGCTGGGAAAAAAGCCTCTCTGTGGCAACTTCTTGATAGTGCATGGCATTGTAAATCACCCGTATAGTGTATGACAAACTTATGTTGGATTGAATATTCTGAAACTTAACATACCAAACATGGTTTGAATGGAAAATGGTCAGTGTTAAGAACCAAAGTATTTTATGGTGGAAGCAATGTGAAATTTACAAAATTCCGCATACAGCTTGCATGATCATGTATTCCAACGAGTATACAGTGAGCATACAGTTGTCTCATACTCCAAATAGTGTGTAGTTTAACTACAACTATGATTCATGTCTCTGACTCTCCGTAGTCAAGGATAGACTGAAATGCAACCAGTTAGTTAATTCATTATGGAAGATGCACAGTGAGGTCATCAGTCAGCTAAAGTAAGTTCACACTAATATTTTGATTCCAGAAACTTCCAGTTTTGCTTGTTGAGAAAGATTTTTCTGGACAGACCCTTTGTCTTTGTATCTACATGTATGTTAAGATTGGGTCAGGTTTACACTGTCGTCATTAAGCTCAGTAAGATACATGTATCTTTGGTATACAACGCTGGTAGATGGATGTTTTTACTTACAAACAGTACCTACCATTTCTTTGGGCAGCAAAGGTTTGTTAAGTCTGCTTTTCCCCATGATACACATTTTCCTGCCACTTGTGAGCATAATCTCTGACTGTGATGTAGCAAAAGAAAGGTCTGTTGAGAAAGGATGTGTGTACAATTTTTCAGTTTTCCCAGGTTACCAATTCTTGTCGGGTTTTCCCCATCCGGTTGTTCAGGTTCCAGTACACTGGCAATAGTGGATTACTACAAACACAGGAAAAGAGATGTGTTGACCAAAGAGGTAGGAACCAGCTAGAATTCCTACAAGACACGGATTCATACCTTGGATAATTACTGTCTGCATATAGCCTGCTCCCATTTGACCATTTTGTAATTTGATATGTATCCTTCCCACTTTGCTACATGTATGTTCTTTGTCACAATACCAATCATGTTTATAATTCCATTACTGCCTGTTGAATTTTATTGCATATTTAGACAGTGCTTGGACTTCTGTATCTCACCCTTACAGTAAATTCTTGTTAACTTACAAAGCCTGATCATGAATTCATAAAACACAACTTCAACTCCTGTAAACCAAGGCTCGACCTTAACGCTTGTCTGCTTGCCAAATTTTTGTCAACATAGTTGCGATCTAGTCAAAACCCTTTTCTTAGTGGTACAGAGGTCTAGTGAAAGAAAAACCACAAAGATAAGCTAGCATGGGTCCTCAGAACCAGACTGTCAACCGAAGACGGCGGTCATTGTTCGTGATTCACTATCCCAATTGATGTTTGCGTACAAGGAATATGTACACCTCAAGTGCACCAGTGAAAATGCTGGCAGGCTTGTACAAAGTCTACTTGTCCTGCTGGCTAGTGAAAGAAATTAATGTTAAGGGGAACCCTGTAAACGTTGCTCTATTTTAATATTCTAGTACTTTCCAGGTATAGACTGACAGGATTGCGTAAGCAGCAGGAGTTACAACGCAGAATGGCTTCACAGTTAACAATGACTTCACCCACAAGTAGTCCAAATTCAGTGGCAAGTACTAGCCAGCCTGAGATAAGCTCCACCTACTCTTCAGTAAATTCCTCCTACTCACTGATAAACTCTGCCCACTCTGTAATGAACTCAGGACCAACAGTCGTTAATAATGTTTCTGTGGCTACCAGCCCTGTTGATGTTGAAAATGACAGTAATCACATCACAAGGAGTGGTAATGCAGTACGAGAAGCAACAAGGTCAATTTCTCCTGGGATGGAGGTTGTGATACAGGAAACGGGCAGCATTCAACAAAAGAAAAGAGAAATACCTGACTTTCAACAGAGCCAAGGTAATTACAACGGCTAGTGCATGTTCTAAAACAACTTTCCAGAAACTGAAGTTCACCTTTTTATTAATTCATTTCCAGTAAGAATTAGATGAATGCATTAATTTACATCCAAGAATGCATTTCAAAAGACCTTTTGATGAAGTCAACTATCATAAGAACAAGGTTGGAGGGACTAGCTTAAGTTATAATCCAGAACCTTGTTATATAAGGATTAAAAAAAAAATAAGAGAAAATCGAGACCCCTCTAAATAACTTCCAGAAGATTACAGACATACGGTAAGCTCTGGTTAAGTCAGCACTCTCGGACTCGAGAAATTATGATGACTTACGCGAATGCCGACTTGTGCTGTAAGTCATCATTTTGCCGACTTACACATACACATGTATTGCCTATGTACATTATGATTCCTTGCACTAATTCAATGGCTTTGATTTACCCTGGTTTATTTCCACCTCCATGGTCGATTCCAGCATACTCGTTCTCGATTATTATCCTCACGGGTTGCACATCACGACTCGACAGTGCACTACGCACATGTACATGTACATGATACAGTTACGGTACAGAAAACATACACTCATCAGCACACGCATTGGTGAAGTTTGTTCAATAAGGCGACCCCCCAAAACGGACAGAGCGCTAGAGGGGTTAGTGGTATTGATGTACTCATGCTGCAGCCAATTATCAACCACGGCCTGTGCTGTTAATTAACAGACATCAGTCAAGCAGTGTGGGACTTGTCACTTGACACTTCTTGGTAACCACACTTCTTAGTAACCGTGGCAAAGGAAACTAATACCGAAGCACTATTTCTTTTTAATGCCGACTTACACAAAGGAATTTTTGTGGTTTTGTGGAAGAGGGACCAAGAAAAACATGCTGACTTGTACAACATGACAACTTATAAATGCCAACTTAGAAATGAAATTTTTAATGGAAATGCATTACAGACGATCGGGACTTCTGTTAAAAGGCCAACATATACGATTTGACGAGTTACGCGATGCCGACTTAGTCGGAGTTTACTGTATTTTTATGTGTCAACCTCATTTACCTTGGACAAATTCTTTCTTAAATTTTTACAGCTGCAAAAATGATATAAAATGCCTTACCTATTCCTTGGCACAGTGGTTATACCAGAATTTAGAACCCCGGTCAAATCCTCTAGCAGTGCAGGATCAGAGCTGAATACACCCACTGGCAAATCACCAAAAAGAAAGAGGTACGTGTCATTGTAGTTTTCTCCTCTGTCCACCATCTAATACTGGTTGCTGCTGTCATGTTGAAATTGATCCTGGATCATACAAATATGATATTATTTCTGATCTGCACATGTTCCAAAACTGCTCTCTTTGACGTTTGCAGTGCTGCACCCAGACGGATACAGGGTACCACGGCAACCACAGCTTCACGCTGCTCTGAGACTACCTCATCGGCCAGTCAGTGTGATGAAGATGTTCGGGACTTACATGTACCTGAGGTGCTTGAGTCACTCATCAACAACATTGAATTCCAGGAAAAGCTTGCACAAAATATCAACAAGGCTATGCCACAGTGAGTACATTCCAAAGCCCCTTTACTCATTTTTATAAATAACAACTTCAACATCCAACAGCTTAGTGTGACTCACAGATATCATTAAGCTCTCTGTGGGAACTTCGTATTTAAGCATGAGGTCTAGAATCATTTGTGTAAGGAAGATCCGATTTGTCTGTCAATCAATAATGAGGGTTCAAGTCAATCAATAGTAGTTTTACTATTGCATTCTCACACCTCCAAATTAATCCAGAAACGGCTATTTATAAAATTCTTGTTTTCTTTGTTTTCTTCCTGAGAACAGTGAGAATGTTGATAAAGACACACAGGCCTATCCAATTAAAGAGTCTGACACCCCCAGCAACCTCAGTAGCCAATCATCAGCCTCCATTGATGAACTTCTGAATCTTCATATGAGCGATGACACAATTCATGACATTGTTCAGAAGACCAGCTCAGATCCTGCATTTGAATCCTTGTTTTCTTTGTTCAGTCAGGTGGGCCAAAGAGCATCAGTCATTGTTATGATCCATTTCCAATTTGTACCCATTTACCCTTACAAATTGAATTTCCCAAAAGCACATCGCCTTATTTACTTGATTTTAATGAACTCGGGACCAAAGGGCTGCCACTTATACATTAGCACTTGACATTTTGTTGGAGAACAAAGACCATGGCACTGATTTACTGCATAGTGTTGGATATACATGTAGAAGGTTCCCCGTGTCTTTAACCACTTCGTGCCAGGGCATTTTTCAACGTTGATGATGCTGGGCCGGCATGACTATCATTTTTTCCGTTTTCAAAATCCTTCAACAATTCATCATTCCATTTAACATTCCATTTATAGCCGCATGAAGTGATCTTTAGGCACTACTCTAAGTTGACAGGTGACCTTCATTGATGCCCGAGTATTTCAGCCAGGCTTGCAGCCTTGTAAAGAGAGCCCAGATTGTGCGGTGTTATACAACTGTCTTTGGTTCATGAACCTGGCTCAGTGCACTGCTGACCTCTTTTCAATAGGGGCCAGATTAGTGTGCAGCGGTGCTGTGTGGCTCATCGCTGCAGTGGTGGAGCGCTTTTGTCCCCAGTGGTAATCCGCTTGCTCTCAATGCCCCAAACCCTGGTATACGGTTTCAAAACAGCGCTAGATTAG